TATTAGCTGTCTGGTTTACATTATTTTGGTGTGCCAGCCCAAAAAAAGACAGTACTGCACAATAACGAAATGCTAGTATCGCTAGGTTACCTTGTTTAGACAATCAAGTATCACTGTTCACTGTAAACTACCACTCTTCAGGTATAACAAAATGGTCATCCATTAAGGGAACAAAAGACTATTATAGGAGGCACATATCTACTCTAGGTGATTTTAGAGGCTATATGGCATACTTTAAAAACAGAATTCTTCACAGTACAAAATATTTATGTCTGGGGTTGCAGGTAAATTTACTTTATAAGAAGTGTTTAGAAACTTTATCACAAGTATGGTGGAAAAATGGAAGAAAGAAAGCAACCAATCTGAATAAATTAACTCTCATGTAAGAGTAACAATCCACAAATGTAGTTTCACATAATGGTGAGCTAGCTACTGCCATTTAAGCTTTGGCACAAATGTTTATCTTACATACTATCCTAGTTAACGATCAACATAGCCACTAGTCTAGTTACCTAACTGCTGCAACACCCTCATCTACGCAAACTATCAGGGGCTAAATGAGTGAAAGCAGACCATAACAGGTGACAGGAAGCCCTGATACAATCCAATTCCAGGCTGCAAAAAGCAAAGTTTGAAAGGAAGAGAAAGAAACCCTGGACTGAAGCCTTCCTATGTTGGGGCCATGAAATATATTTGTTGTTTAACCTCTTCATGTCATGCAGTCTGACATTGATAAGAACATGTTTCAAGTAGTACTATATCCCTCCTGTGAAAAAAAAAGTAAAGCACAAAACTTAAGATAACTAAACTAGGGGACATTAGTAACAAAAAGCAGGTCAAGGTTTCGACTCAGTTCAGTGTGACTGAAATTGGCATTTTCTCAATCTTTTCCTAAAAAGCTTTCAGTATGGCAGAAGAAATCATAGAGATGTAAATTTAGTCCTACCTCATCCATCATCCATGTAAGCCTCCAAAAGATAATAAAGTTTAGAACAATATTATTATAGTAGCAGCCAAAGACTTCTAATAAATATCACAAAATTACAAAACTAGTCAACTACCAACTGAAAAATATAACATCAAAATTAACTTTCAGGAATCAAGTTTTAACTAGAATACCCCTATCATTTTCCTGAAACTTTCTAAAATCTATTCATAATACATTAGTATTTTCTTGATGATTAAAAAATCTATATGAGTTCCCAGTCTAGAGTAAAAGGTATTTTAAAAAGATAGCAGGCCAAAGACACATAACATGTAACAAATATGTTAACCTTAGGAGTTATCACAGAAGCTATATTTTAAAAAAATCATGAAATTTGAATACTTTAAAACATCAAGCTATGTAGCAAATAACAAATAATAATATCTGACCTCTTCATTTTATAACCAAATAAAAAGCCATTCTAGGGGCTGGGGATTTAGCTCAGCGGCATAAGCGCCTGCCTTGCAAGCAGGCAGTCATGAGTTCGATCCCTGGTACCGATAAAAAAAAAAAAAAAAAAAAAAAAACTGAAAAAGACCAAAAAAAAAGCCATTCTAAGAGCTTTTGTATCCAAAAAGGAGGAAAGCATAATCTGATATGGGTGATTAAAAAAGCCAAAAGGTTTCCAAGTCACCAGTAACTACATAACTGCAATGGTTTGAATGTGAAGCCCAAAGTTCTTACACTGAAAACTTAATCTCCAATACAATATTGTCAGGAGGTGGGGCTAAAAGATCATTAGAACTTGTCCTCTACAGATTAATGTTGCTATGACAAGGATCCACTACCTACCACAAGAGAAAAATTGTTATAAAAACTACTTTGACTTTGCCTTGCTAGTTGTTCATGCTTTCTCACTCTATTACCTCACCTTTCTCTCTCTTTCTCTCTCTCCCTTGCCTTTGTACCTTCTGACATAGGATTATATGGAACTAAAGCTCTCATCGGCTATTAGATTCTTGGATTTCTTGCCTACAGAACTACAAATCTCCGTTTTTTATAAATTATCCAATGTCACGTGTTCTATTATAGCACAGAAAATGAACCAAAATAAGGTTCTAACTAAATATAGCTTAAAAATAGCTTTCTGGCAAGTACTACACAGAAATGACATAAAAGATACCACTAGAAGACAGATGCATACAATATGCTATATTTTCCACTACATTTGAATTCCTCAAATCTATTTCTAGAGTCTACACAAGTTTTATAGCAAAAGTAAAATTTATCTACATAGGTGCATGGTACTTAGTCAAAAAATGACTAAGACAAAAGCTTAGTTTCTTTTGAGAAGAGCAGATGTGTTGGGCCTTAATTGTTTGTTTCACCATAACTCATTTGAGTTTTAAAATGCTACAATCATGGCCCTCATTTGCCACATGAGAAAATTTCTTCCTCTGATAAACACTAGAATCCCACACCTATTTTAAAATTTATCCTACTTAATTCAGAATTAAGAATGTTCAAATATCTTGCTACTTCATGTAAAATGGTTAAGTTCGTCCTGTTGATAAACTAGATACAATTAGATATTTTTCCTTTTTCAAGACCAGCTAAAGGACAAAACTTAAAAAGGAAGTATAACATCAGCAGAAACTGTACAAGCATTATATCTCTAACTATATCAAGGACACAAAAGTTTATCACCAAGATACACAAAGACAATGCTGCCATCTAAAGGCCAAAATATAATATGAAAAGATGTTTGCTAAATCAAATACTGCCAAAGTACAAAAACCAAGCAATCTCCAATTTCAATTCAACAAAGTTTATATTTAAAAAAATGAAAAATGCCATGTTATGATTTTCTAAAAACTATTCAATGAAGCTAGAGAACTCGAAGAAAACAGTTTGGCTAGCAAAAGTAGAATTCTTTTGGTATTCTTTCAGGTATACTTCTAAAACCTTCCCTTAGTTGCTAATATAAAATACCTGTTTTTAAGTGATCAATAATACTTCTCAAAATGAAAATAGCTAAAATGCTAAAAATTGCAGTTTAGCAAGTTACTTAAATACTTCTCCTTATTTTGCAAATTTTAAAAATAAAATGTAAATTTCCTATAGGAGATTGGTTATCAATAATTTAGTTATCCAATCTAGAATCCAATTTAGAATCTTACTGAATTGACATTTAAGATTTTGTCAAATTGCTTCAAATTCACAAGGAAATTAAAATGTTTAAAAAATTATACTAAATTCTGAACCAATCCCTTTAAGTTAAGATGTTAAGCAATATTTTTAATGTACAATATTAGATAAAAACTAAACTGAAAGTGAAGGAAAACGTTCAAACAGTTGCTTCCTTTAGGAAACCACCAGCTAAAAACTGTTTACCAATAAAGAAATATTTCTCCATCTTTACACAAGAAAACAAAGACTAGCCAAAATGAAATATTTTAAAGGAATAGAAACATGTTAAGTTGAGGGTTACTATCCTTTAATTTACCTTTAGTGCAAAGTAGAAACCAACAATTTAACAAATTTAGTTGTAATATCACAAAAACTATTAGGTTTTTAGTAGTGCTAATAAAACAGAATTTATGCTATGTGATTTGAACAAAAAGACAAATGTCAATAACTTCTCCATTCATGAATGAGGTTTAAAGATGTTAAGCAATTTTTCTAGGATTACAATACAGTGAGTAGACACCAGGAGTCAAAATTCAGCATTTCTGACATAAAAGACCTAACACAATCATACAACCTCAAGTGAGTACATTTAGATTAAATGTAAAAATGTGTATGAAGTAACTTCATTACCAATGTTCAGGGTAAAAATATTCTATGTGGTTTTAAAAAATCATTTACTTTTAATCATATTTCAATTTTTCTAAAATCCTTTTTTAAATAAGTATTATCTCACTAGAAGTACTAATACATCAAAGAACCTTTCCAAACTTAAATTTATATATTCAATATATTTATTAAATATTATCAAGTGATATATAGTAATTCAAAAGGGCAACAAAAATATCTGTATTTTTGAGATGCACTTAAATTTTCTTTATAAATATGCTACACACATAGGACCAGCCTGGCAACATTTTAATTACACTATTTTTCAATATTGAGAATTTCTACTCAAGCCACCTGTATGACAGGTTTTCCTGATAATTTCTATGGTATATTTTCTAATGAAAATCAAGTGACTTTTAATATTATTTAGCCACAAAAAGGAATGAAACTCTGATACAGGTTATGATATCAATAAACCTCAAAAATATCATGTAAAGAAAGAAACCAGACATCAAGTACCACATATTAAATCATTCCATTTTTAGGAAATGTCTGGAAGAGGCTAATTCACAGAAACAGAAAGGAGATTAGCAGCTGCCAGGTACTAGGAAGAAGGAGAAAGCGGAATGATGATTACTGGACAAATTTTTTTCTAGGATAATGAAAATGTCCCAGAATTAGTTACTGGTGACAACTGAACAACTTAATGAGTCATATACTTTAAAAGTGATTCTTATGTGAACTACATCTCAATAAAAGAAAAAAGAATATTTTTAAGACTATTAAACACAAGTGTCTGAATTACAAATGTGTTTGCTTACCAATAAAATCTAGGTAATTATCAAGACTATCTGTCCCAACTTATTGAATCCCATTTCTATCATGCTAAGTAAAAAGCTCTATTTCACAAATGTATACTCCTAACTTTATATTAAATCTTATCTAAAATAACTGTAATTCTGAGAGCAATCAGAAAAAAATTGTAACTACAAATATATTTGGTAAGCCAATTTTGTATTTTCCAACTTGCCTACAATTTACAAAAGACACATTAGCATATGTTTAAGGACTTTAAAATCAAGAACCACATACAAGCATGTATTTGGTTTTAGAATAATTTATAAAATCATTATTTTGAGAGGATATTTGTGTTTTCAGTAGGTAGTATTTGTCTCTCAACTACCAAAACAAAATGCATTAGAAAATGTACAACTAAAGTTTAAAGAATTCAAAGGTCAGAAATTAAATGAACAGCATGAAGATAAAAACAGGTACTTACTAATTTGTTTTCTTGCATGTATATTCTTTGTAGTTTCAGACAGCCCTTTGCTATGACGATCATGCCTTCATCTGAGATCTTGTAACACTGGCCAAAATGAATATCTTTGAGTTCTCTGCACTTTGATCCCAGCTGTAAACAAAGGGATTTGGCTGAAAGCTCAGAAAGTAACAAAAACATATACTATACTAGGATTTTAAGCATTATCTGAAAATCATACCAGAGGTAAATACTTACTACTTATAAATTACTTTTAAAAGGAGATAGAATAAATGATCTAGAACCGAAAACAGTACAGTATTCATCTTTTAACTTACATGTTTCAATAACTTCATACTAGATGTCCATCAAGTACTTAGATTCCTTATCATTCAAATTCACATTTTATTTCTCTTGAGTCTTAATAGTGGAGAAAGACGATGGGAGGAACAAACTAAAGGTGTAAATTACAGAGTATTCAAAAAATTTAACATTATACTACCATTAAAATTCAAATAAAAATTGAGAAAAATAAAAAGTTATTAAAATTTTAAATTATAATCCAATTTTATAAAGAAACATATATTTAAATTTACATTCACATATGAGAAAAGAGACTGCCAGGTTTACCAACAAAGTGTTAACAGTAGTTATTCCTGATGAGTGATTATGCAGGCTATTTTTTCCTTTCTATCAATCTCTAATTTTTTAAACAAATAATTTTATAATGAAAATGTTTCAAGTTCTATTTCAAAAAAAGTGATGATAGTAGGATATATAAACTCATTTACTTTTCTAGTGACAATAATAAATACAAACTAGGCTATTCTAATGCAGGCTATACTATAATCAATAAATCTTCCTTTGAAATATAAATTCCATGAAGACAGGAATTTTTCTGTTTTATTAAATAATATATCTGTGGTATCTTACACTTATCTAATATTTAATAAATATTTGTTGATTGGGTGAAAACGCTAATCAGGGTCATGCGTGTAAAGAGTTCTCTTGACAATTTTTCCTTCAGTGCTGGGACTTGAATCACCCAAAGCCTTGTGTACACTAAGCAAAACTGCACCACTGAATACATCCCCAGTCCTGACAGCTTTTTTAAAATGAGTAAACATAGAAAACTATGATTGTGGTTTCACATACCGCTATGTCCTACTCAATTCATAGATCTAACCTGGGTCCATGGACAGCGCTCAAGTTCCCAGGAGAGGTGATAAAGAATTTGAATTTATCTTCACATTCTCGGTTAGCTACATTTATGACCCTAAACAAATCAAATATAATTTCATATTTCACTGTCTGAAAATATCTAGCAATATCATTTTTTCCTTATTAGTATTCATCACACTCATTAAACCATCTACCCGATCTTAATTCATTACAAGTGGTACATATATTTCCAGAACTAATGTACATGACTTAGATCTCAAAACGCTGAATCCAAAACCAATATTGGCAAAATCAGAACAGTAAGTATGCTACAGACAACAGGTTCACATATGTCTGGCTACAAGGTTGGCCCTGGGAATAAAACCACTACAACTCTTGAAAATCAGCTTAAGTAGCAGTTAAACCCTCCAATTACCTCCCCATTACTGCAAGCCTGACCTTGCACACATCACATAATGGTCAAAGACTGGAGCTCCTGGGGAATTTCGGACTGGTGTACATCACACATAGCTGGGAACAGAAGCATACTGGTGAAAATGTGGGGATTACACAAAAGTCTATAATAGTGAAAATAGAGTAGTCCAAATAAATAATTGTATTCAATTTTCAAGGATGAAGGGATATGAACTTCCAAACTGAAAGAGTCATCCAAATGTCTATCACAAATGATAGACTTATGGCAATGCAAATTATCATAAGACTCTATAATCCTAGCTATCAACAAGATTCCATGAACTTCCAGAGAAAAACAGATTTCATGAAAAGGATTTCGACTTTAAAATGCTCCGAACATCTTACCAACAGTAAAAGCAACAAAGCAATGCCATCAAATTCAAAAAGAAAACTATTTCTAATATAAATTGATTTAGACCATGAATTAACCATGCTGGTAGAATTCAAGATATTTACAAATACAGAAGTTCTCAGAATATTTATTTCCCATACACTTTTTATTAAGATGTAATTAGAAATTGTGCTCTACAAAACATGAGAATATACCAAAAGAAAGAGGACAAGACCTCTGCGTAATGAGATCTACCTCAACATCAAAATAAAGAACAACTCAGGTTAATGCTGGAGGTAAAATATTAAGATGACTTATTAAATGCAACAACATTTACATGTAAGAAGTCCAGACTAGTACCAGGCGTGGTGGCATATGCCTGTAATCCCAGCACTCAGGAGGCTAAGACAGGAGGATTGTTGCAAGTTCAAGACCAAGCCTGGGCTACAAAGTGAGCTCAACGACAGTATAAACTGCTTAATGAGATCCTGTCTCAAAAAAAAACGGAAGCCCAGACTAGACCACAAAGGTAAATAGATATACTACTACAACTGGAAATCTTGGAACTCCGTGTTAAGAGAATACAAGGAAGCTAAAGAAAAAAAAATTATTAATTCCAATAAAACAGAATTTTGTAGATTGAAAAAATAATGGGCAAATGATTTTGAAATGTGAATACAAAATACTTAACAAAATGAAAATTATGACGGAATTAGAGGATAAAGAGACAGAGAAGGATAAATTCACTAAATTCTTCCATGGCTAGAAATCATCTATAGCCAAAGTAGACTATTTATAAAAATACAAATAAACATGACAAAAATACTTTCTCCATCTGGAGGAAGTCCTGTTAATCTAATTCCTAGCCTTAGCACTAATTTTTATTTAATAAAGGAAACATGTTCATTCATCTCCACACCTCTCTTTAGCAACAAATTGCCCAGACTGAATAAGTAATCCTCACTTTTTTAATAGGGGCCACTCTGCTGGTCTGGTCTACTCAATGACTAAGTCATCTGGTCAAATTTCAGAGTCAAGTTAACAACCTCATTTAGCTCCATCTAGTAAGCAACATTCTCCATCTTAGAGTTTCTAAGTAATAAGGTTTGTATTTTTTTTCTCTATCACTATTTCTCTTATTTATCAATTTTACCACATCTTGTGCAATAAAAGACAGATCTCTTGAAGAACTCAGTACCCAGTATGTCAGTAATAAACAATGAGAAATAAAACAGAATAAACATGTAAGAAGTAACTGAGCTTTTCGGCTGAGTCTCAGACAATACTGTGTGCACAAGTTGGTAGAACCTCATGTTAAGACCTATAAATCACACTGTTATAGACAGAAAAAAGATAAACTAATTACAAGATATGCTGAGGGGGAGAGAACATGATGGACAGGCAACAGCAACTACCGGAGGCTCTCTGAAAGGCTCGGCTCAGAGGCCAGGAATGATGCGGACTAAGGAGACACGAACCAGTAGAGATATGCACTGCTGACTCAGGAACGAACTGGGCTGAGAGAAACCAACTTAGAATACAGTCCTGGCGCTAAAATAGGAACAGAAAAGACTCGGTGTAGAGGCTCGACCCCGCACCATTGGAAACCACGATTTGGTTTTCCCGCTGCCCGGTGGCTGGCTGCCTCCACAGCGGCTCCGCAAGGAGAGACGCGCAGAGCTCTGGGAATGGGAGTCTGCGAACGGAGTCGAAAACAGGACGGACAAGGAGGCGTACACAAAAACTGACTGGTGGCGAGGTGAGTGAGAAACTGACCCCCTACCACAGTTTGACTCCAGCGGAGGTTTTTCTGGGCTCTGGCAGTCCTGTAAGAGCAGGGTGCGGTGGCAACTCCAGCCACACATTCCCCTCTCGGACGGGATTGGTGAAAAGTGCCTGGCCTGAGTGACGATGCTGGCGGACTCCCTAGGCTGGCCTAACCCAGATCCCAGAGCCTGACGGTGGCCCGGAGGAGCGACTGACTCCCGTGTAGGCTGCCTCCTCCGCAACTCCCTGGTGCGCAGCGGTGGGCGGGAACAACTAGCCAGCACAATTTGATCAGGCTGCGGCTGACAGGCAGGGAAGCCGGGCCTCCTATGTAAGCTTGCATTTTATAAGGAACAGAAAATATGGGGAAGGGAAGCAACAAAAAAGGCTCCTCGGCCCCCAATCCTGAGAAACAGGCAGTAGTGGACACCGCACCAATATACATTAAGCGCCATATAGAGAGCCTCATAGACCAATTCAGGAATGAAGTTATCAACGACCTGAAGCTAGAAGTATGCAGAATAGTTAGAGAAATGCTAAGCATCACCCAGGAAAAAACAGATGGTGGAATGGAAGAACAGAAAAAGAGGGGAGAATTGCTTGATGGAGAAAACAGAGAAAGCATTGAGTATGTGAAGCATGTTCAAAGGGACTATCAAGAAATTAAGAAGTCTATCCAAGACTGGCATAACAGCTTGAAAGAAACTAAGGACAGACTATCTGAACTGGAGGGCAGACTTGAAATATGGGAGAATGAAATGAAAAACTTCTTAAAAATAACAAAGAAACAAACAGCAATAATACAAAGACAAGAAGATGATAAGAGGAGCCATAACTTAAGGATTAAGAACATAAAAGAAGAAGTAGGGACACAAACAAGTGAACTACAAAAGCTACTCACAGAAATAATCCAGGAGAATTTTCCTAATTTAGCAAAAGGTAAAGATACTCAGATGTATGAGGCATACAGGACCCCAGCTACCTACAACCCTAACAGAGAAACACCCAGGCATATAATAATAAAAATTCCAGAAATTCAATACAAGAACAGAATATTAAAAGCTGTAAGAGACAAGAAACAGATCACTTACAAGGGAACACCCATCAGAATTACAGCAGATTTCTCTTCACAAACCATCAAAGCACGAAGAGCGTGGGGGGAAATAATTCAAGCTTTGAAAGATAATAATCTCCAGCCAAGATTGAGATATCCTGCACAACTGTCCCTGGAAATTGATGGAAAAACGAGGTGCTTCCAGGATAAAGAGGAACTGGGGGAATTTGCAACCACCAATTCAACCCTACAGAAAGTATTGCAGGATATTCTAAAAAAAGAAAAATACAAAGAACCCAGAAATAGTGGCGGGGAGGCCACAACGAATGGAGCAGAGAACAAAATGAAGAAGACAAACTGATAGCT